GTGCCACCAGCCTTAAAGAGTTTTAGAGCCGGTTATTAAAGAAGGTATAGACAGGCGCTCCCGCCTGCACAGAGCCTCCTTCTGGGACCAAGCGGCTCTCACGCCGGCGCCCCACTTCCCACCAGCCTCCCTCGGGCTCTTGTCCTGGTCATGGAGATGCGTGCGTCTGCTACCTGCACCTGCGGCCGGTTCTGAGTTCAGGACGCGCCCGCCAGGTGGCAGATCTCCAAACCCAGAGTGCAAGAGAAGTGGGACGAGGATAAAAGCACTTCACTCCCGGGAGGGGAGGGGAGAACTGAAGGAGGAGCAAACCTTGTCTGACGTTCTGTCGGTGGGTTGGGGTGTTTGGGATTTTTAAAAGTTCTCCATAGGAATCCAAAGCTGGGAAGAATGGAGTGTGTGTGGCAGGCAGGGCTGCGTCCTCTCGGCCGGGATTAAATCAGCTACATCGTGCAGCCTCACCCAGCCTCAGAGAGATGGGAGGAGTGGGGAGCTGAGGATGCAGCCCCAGGGCCTGCCCCAGTCAGCACTACTGAGCCCTCCGGGCCCTATTGGGCCTCAGTTTGCCCACCCGCACATCAAGGGTGGCATTAGCCCTTCTGCCTGCACTACACTCAGATGGCGAAGCGGCCGCCCCCCACCAGCGTGAGCTCTGATGGAGCACACAGAAGCAGGAGCCTCGCTGGGCTCCGTGGGCTGGGCCCAGCAGCCATGGCGGTGCCCAGAGCAGCACTTCAGCGTGTGCTGCCCCAGCCAGACCGTCCAACAGCTGGGCAGAGGAGGCGTGGCCTGGCTGGAGGCCGGGCACATGGTGTCGCGGGCCAGGGCCCGGGGGACAGGTGGAGAGCTTTCTGCAAAAGCCGCTCTCTCCCTCAGGAGGCACCTCCGTGATCTCTCCTGTTGGCTATTTGTGTATTTTCAGTGGATCTGGAGCCAGAGTTTAAGGCCTTCACTCAGCACTGGAAGCACATGGCCCACTGACCTCGTAACTGCGTCCACACTAGTGGAAGAGTGAGGATTGGGCTGGCGCAGCCTCCCGGAGCCCCTAGGGGCTCGCCTCCCAGACCCCAGGCGGGCAGATCTAAAAGCTGTGGGACTTCCCTCTCCCGTCTGGGGTCTGGACAAGGCTCTGGGCAGACAGCCATCCTAAGGTACCACGTCCCCCGTGTGACCCCTGGCCGTGTCCCCAGTGCCAACAGCATCCCTGGAGAGGCGCATCTTGCTCATCAAAGCTCCCGCCCGCCTCCACCTCTACAGCAGATGAAATGAGTTTCCAGTGGCCTGATTTCCTCCCAGGGAGTACGAGTAAGGTCTGGAGGGAGACTTGACTATTTGTAAATGTTCTAGAAATAAAAGAGCTTAAAAGGGGAGCATAAAAAGGCAGCTAGCACCTTGAGGCTCTCTGCCAGGTCAGTGAGGCCCTGGAGTAGAGGCCACAGCCCACCTGGGACTGCTGAAGGCCCGCAGCTTCCAGAAGCCTGGCTCAGCACAGAGCACCCCGGCAGGCTGGCCCCTCCGCAGTCCCAGGAGCTCCCAGGGAGAGGGACGGGCCACTGGACACCTGCTGTGTGCCCTGCGGGCTTCGAGTACCTTCTTTACTTAATCTTCACAACAACCCTATTAAGGCAGGTGTTATCACCATTTTACATGTAAAAACTGAGCCTCAGAAAGATTAAGTCCTTGCCAAGGACAACAGCTCCGAGGTGGCAGGGCCAAGACAGGAATCCGGGTCTGCCCAAGCCCACAGCCCACGCTCTTCCCACTCCGGAGCCGGTCCAGGAGCCCACGTGCCTGCATGCTCACCGCCGGCCGATTGGTTGCACTGCCAGGCTGGCAGGAGAGAAGTGGGGTGGGAGGGAGGGAGGTGAGGAACAGGGAGGCGGTGGGTGGGCCCTGAGAGAAATAAGTCTAATTAGGCAAAGACAACAGGGCGGGATTCCTCGCAGCCTGGAGACCAGCAGTGGTGGGAGGGAGTCGCTCTCAGAGGGCCAGCACCCAGAGCATGTGGAGAGGGAGGCCTGGGCAGGAGTCAGGCCACAGAAAGGATGAGGGTGGGAACTGAGGAGATGCTGACAAATGCAGCAGCGTGGGGGGCCTCTGAGCTGGTCACTGAGGCACTGTCAGGGGACGTGAGGGGGCCACAGCCCAGCGAGGAGGAGGGGAGGAGGAGGAGGGGAGGAAGCAGAGGGAGTGGATTTTTCACCAGTTCTGAGACTGACATAAAGAGATGCCTGAGTGAGAAGATGGAGGGGCACTTTTCGTTAGAGATGGGCACCATTGCCCTGGCCGGTTTGGCTCAGTGGATAGAGCGTCGGCCTGTGGACTGAAGGGTCCCAGGTTCAATTCCGGTCAAGGGCATGTACCTTGGTTTAGGGCACATCCCCAGTAGGGGGTGTGCAGGAGGCAGCTGATCCATGTTTCTCTCTCATCAATGTTTCTAACTCTCTATCCCTCTCTGTAAAAAAAAAAAAAAAAAAAAAAAAATCAATAAAATATATTTTTTAAAAAAGAGAGAGAGATGGGCACTATTTAAACATATTCACAGGCCAGGATTGGAGCCAGTGAAAGACAAAGATGGAAACTGTAGGAAGAAAGTATTCGGGGGGCAAAGTGGGATTGTGGAGGGCACAGCTCACTAGGTTTGAAAGGGAAGACGCTGTATCCTCTGAGACAGGAGAGAAGGGAGCTTGCAATGCAGAAGCACGAAGGTGAGGGGCTGACCCCGAGCGGCACTAAAAGCAAGAAGCAACAGCCCCGCGGAATGCAGGGCGGCAGGGGACTGCCAGCCTGCCGGGGCTGCCCTGACACACTGACAGCCCACCTCACACTCATTCGACATCCGAGACCATGTGGCTGCTCCACACCGACATCCAGGCCCAGCTCCCTGCACTGGAGGGACGAGCACGAGTGTGCGGGAGCCTGGGTGTATAGTCATAGGTCAGTGATGGCGAACCTATGACACGCGTGTCAGAGGTGACACGCGAACTCATTTTTTGGTTGGTTTTTCTTTGTTAAATGGCATTTAAATATATAAAATAAATATCAAAAATATAAGTCTTTGTTTTACTATGGTTGCAAATATCAAAAAATTTCTATATGTGACACAGCACCAGAGTTAAGTTAGGGTTTTTCAAAATGCTGACACGCCGAGCTCAAAATGTTCGTCATCACTGTCATAGGTGATGGAAATGCATTGCCTAATGCTTGGATTTTCTCAGCAAATCTCTTGCAAAAACTTGGAAGACATTGAGTGCATCATCTCCCTCGCCTGCCCTCTGCTTCTCCACGTGGACCCAGCCTTCCCCACGCAGCACCGTGCCCAGCTCTGCCCAGCTCCCGCGGTAGTTGCAGCAAAATGTCTGACATGAGTCAAAGGAGCGAAGCCCTCCACAGGCATTTCAGGTGTTCCCTCCGAGCTGAGTTCCGCAGTCATCACTGGGCACCCCACCAGGCACATCGAGAGGAGCCTGCTGCCATTCCACCCAAAACAGCTCTGAAAGATCCGTGTGAAGAAGGCTGTCGGAAGAGCAGTACATCTCAGGGAGATTGCAATCTTTCCCCTTTGATTCTTGTCTAAGAATTGGCTTTTTCAGCAGGAACCCTAAGTTCCCCACACCTTCCTTTCATTACAAACAAGGATATTGTCCTTCATTAAAAAAGTAAAAAAAAAAAAAAAAGCTTCCCAGGCCTGCCCCAGAAGGCTGTGCGGCTCCATCTTACCCCACTCTGAGAAAACGCGGGCCCTGTTTGCCCACAAGGGCGGCCGCCAGGGGGCTGGCAGTAGCCTGCTGCTTTAATCCCGCAGCTTTGTCAGACACGGCTGCTGAAAACCATCAGCATAAAGACAGCAAAAGGAGCACGGGCTGATCGGTCTAAATGGCCCGGGAGAGATGGACCATGTGCGTGTGTTGTACGGATCTTGCAAAATCTGTAACTATGGGGAGAGAGGGTGGGGAGAGAGGAAGAAAACAAGTGAGGCCCGGAGGCAGCTGGAAATGAATGCGGGACTGTCTGGGTGTTGCTCAATGGTGACCTGCCTTCTCAGGGGCCTTGCCAGGCTCTGGGAAGGAGCAGCCCTGTGATGGCTCATCTCGTCCTGCTGGGAGGAACCTCGGGAGCCGGTTCAAGGTTGCTGTGTCCTTTGAGCAGCAGAGCCAGCGAAGCCAGGGCATGAGAAGGGCATCTCCCCCTGTGAGAGGGGTGAGCAGACAAGTGTGTGCCTGCACAAGGTGTGTTTACAGGAGGAGAGCGAGGTGTCTACTTGCCTCCAACACATGTGGTCAGGTTAGAGAACAGAAGCCCATTCATTCCTGGTTTGCCCCAAAGCCTCACCCTTTTCCTTCATTTCCCCGGAGTTAGTGACTGCTCCTCAGCAAGGGGCACGAAGCGGGGGGCTCTAGCACTGACCCCTTTTGTGTAGGCACCTTTGCCCCGGGACAGAGAAGACGGGGCCCTAACGACACTCCCAGAGCCCTCCTTCCCGCCACATCTCAGCGCTCTCTGATAGTGGTCTGAGAAGTCCAACCAAAGACATCCCACCCTCCATTCCTACAGCCCAAGCAAAGGCCCTGGAAGGGACAATCAGGGGGGACGGGTCCAAGCTGCAGAGTCGCCGCCTGAGGTCGGCAGGCCCAGGGGACCTGGTGAGTGTAAATGGCAGGCCGAGGTGGGCAAGAAACTGGTTAGCCATTCCCTGGTGGCTTGGACTCCATGGGCCTGCTTGAAGCAGTCACACAGTCCTGACCCACTAACGCCCTATTTCACTACAACCTATGAAGACTGTGGGAAAGGCTGCTGGTCCTGCGGGCACTGCCAAAGTGGTGAGCATTCGCCTTGCACCGTGGGAGCCAGACACCAGGCCACTAGGCGGCCTCGCGATGGAGGAGGCGGTCCCCCCAGGCCACGTGGTCGCCAGCCCCCCAGCCTGGCTCGGCCACTCAGTGTCTCTGGGGCTCGGTGACTTCTTTCCTGTGGCTCCGTTTCCTTGTCCGCTCACGGGAAGCAGTACCTCGGACCCAGCGAGGTGAGGTGGCAGGGAAAGCACCTGCCGTGCCAGGGCTCCCGTCGGTCACCCGAGTGAGGCTGAACAGGGCGACTGGGGGAAGCAAGCCGAGTCCGTGCCATTGCTCTCATCTATCTGAGCCCCACCTGTTCACTCCATGTGCCCCTCTCCTCACTGCACCCTGGTCTCCAGGAACAGACCAGAGTGGAGAACTCCGGCCTCAGGGGCTCAGAAGGAGCAGGGAGCCCATGTCCACGGCCACGAGAGGGTGGGGAGACCTCTCCCCGGGAGGGAGGGGGGCCTGAGAGGCACACAGGGCCCCATTCACATTGGAACTGGTTCCTGAGACCCACACTCTGCCCCCTTTAAGAAGCCGCGCCCCACCCCCACACACCCCACACCTGCTCCCATCCCTCTCCGCTTCCATGAGAAACAGAGAAGCAGTCAGCCTTTGTTTTGCCAGTTCTGTCTCCACACACCCCTCCCATTACATTGGAAAACAAAGTTTCCCATCTTTGCGCTGATTTCTCAGCCTCCTCTTAAGCACAATAATAATAAGCTCCTCCAGGGCAGAGAGGAGGGTATGTGCCAAGACTGGGGTTTGGCATGGAGCCCATGCCTTTCAGGCCTGGTTACTGGGCGAGAGGTCGGAGAGATGGCAGAGGAGGAGGCCAAGGAGCCAGACGTCTCCCCGATCCTTCCCCCCGCCCCTCCACTGCTCATGACCCCCATCCCCAGCTCCCAGGAGCCCCAAGTGAGCTGGGGACGTTCACAGGCCCCTGGAGCGGACCCCCCGACTTGCCTGAGAACTGCCTCTTGTACTGGAATGTCTTAGGCACCCCTCCCACCACCACACACACCATCCCACCTGATGGAGTCACCTGACTGGCACTCCCATTTTCTGCCCCTGAGGGGTATAGCTATGGAACCCCAGAAGGCAGGCCACACTTCCTGGGTGGGGCCAATGGCCGGACATCAGAAAGGACTGTACTCAGACTCAAAAGACCTGGATTCAAATTCCATGCTTGTGCCTGTCATTTAACACCATGAGCTTCGGTCTCTCAGCTCCTGACTTCACAGAGGCAGCACAAGGAGTAAATGGGTGATGCTCTCAGGTGGTTGACACTTAGTAGGTATTTTTATTGCGTTTGCCAGAGGGCATCGGGAGGTAAGTTTAACAGCACTGAGAGGAAATTTCAACTCCCTTGTCAGGGTCAACAGGGATGGTGCCTTGGTGATGGGGCTGGGAGGAGCCCTTCACCCCCTGGAAGTGGCCACCTGCCAGGCGGTCTGGCCTGGTAGAGCCGGAAGCTCTGGGTGCTGCGAGGGGAGGAGTGTTCGCACTCGCGGAGAAGGAGCAGGGGTCGCGCGCATTTGGTTTTACACAGAGGGAAGGGGAAAGGAGGAGAGCTGCTGATGGAAGTCCCAAGTTGGGCCTCAAAGCCCCAAGTCCAGGGAAGGGAGGGCCACAGGCCTTGACCTCCACCCAGCACCTGAGGACAGGGCTGAGGAACAGTCCTCCTGGTACCGCCAGCGTCAGGCACGGCGTCCAGCTCACCACGGATTTACAGAACTGCAGGGTGCGGGTGCAGCTTTCCTAGCCTCCTGTTGTAACGTAAGACTATTTTCTTGGTAGAGGAGGGTGAGAGAGGACACCTGTCTCGTGTTTTGTCAAGGGGAGCATTGGAAAAGAATGCTGAACTAACCCAAAGGGCGGGGCTGGGAGCCACGGAGCTGGGAGACCGATTTCAGTTCAAGGGTAACCAAGGTCTGATGTGGAACTAACAGCTTGGATTGGGACCACACAGTGATGGGGGAGGACACTAGGCCCACTTCCTGCGAGAAGAGAACGAGTGAGGCCACTCTCCCCTCCCCTCCCCCCAACAGCCTCCCCCTCCCCTCTCCCGGCCTTGGTGGCCCTAAAAAGTTTGGTTATTATCCTGTATGAGGGTGAGAATGGTTTGGAGCAAGGTCAGCAAACTATACCCACGTTTAAATAAAGTTTTATTGAAATACAGCCACACTCATTCCTTTCCACATGGGCTAACGCTGCTTTCGCCCTTTAAGAAGTCGAGGCAGAGACTGTGTGGCCTACAAAGAACAAGCTATCTGCTATCTGGCCTCACAGAAGCAGCTGCTGGCCTGGTTTAGAGAAGGCAGAGGTGGGGGCCTCCTGCCTTCGTGCCCCTCAGTGAGCAGGGAACAGCGACCGGCCAAGCCCCTGTTTCTGAAAGTGGGGTCCAGGCAGCTCTAAATCAAGCCAGTGAGGATGATACAGACATTCGTGGGGACCCCTGGCCCAGAAAGGGCCGAGGAGCAGAAACAGGGAGAAGACGGCTGGCGTGAGGGG